TATGTCGGCTTAAATATTCACATGCGCGAAACCTCAAGTAAGCCACATTTCTGTTTACAATTACTTAGCTAAATCTGCTGTCCTGTTACATACATTACTATCTCTTCTACTTCCTCCTGCAGTCGTATGAAGAGCTCCTTTGATCCTTCACTACTTTTGCAAAATGTTAATGCAAATTATTTTCCTTGCCTGCGGTGCCACTTTCCTAGCTGAAGAAGGAAGATAATCCTCCTAAGAACATAAGGTTAGCAGGAGCTGTCTGCTGGTCCAGCTATCCATCCTCAAGTAATTTTGGGGATCCCTGGACAATTTCAACTTAAAAGGGATGGGTGAAAGGAAAAAGCAAGGAAAACTTGCAGAAACAATCTCTGTATGTGCTTCAAGGTTACTGCATATGAACTTTATCTGACCCAAAAGCCATGTAATTCATCAATGCTGTGCTGACATCAAGCTAATTAATCCATGTTTATTAGCTCTGGCTTAAAACCATGCTACTGAGTCAGAGTTGGCGAATTATAAAATCTTACATATTTGCTCACATCTGCTTTGGAGAAATACTATAGCATGGTACAGCCCTTAAGTTCACCACACACTTCCTGAGTATCTGTATTTAAAATTTAGGTTATTAAAACTTTTTAGTATTTCTCATATCCAACAAATGAGGAGGTCACCTCAGTGGTGAATAAGCAATGCTTCTGAAAAAGAAAACTCTTTAAAATATGCCACTATTTAAATTGGTTTTTTTTTAAGTTTCCTGCTAAATTATCAGATTATAGTACAAGTAAGTAGATTTGATACCTATCCAGATGCCTTTTGTTGTTTAAATTCAGGCGTAATGTTTCAGTGTTGATCTCATATGGCAGTCAAATAATTCAAATCATGGCTACATGCGGAACAGAGAGATACAACTTTTTTGCGCTGAGATTACTGACACATCCTTTCTTCTCATTATACACGAAGGGAGAAGGAAGGCAATCTGCAACATGCTTTATATGCTTTGCAATAAACCAGTTCATCCCACCCAACTCTTTTCCTTTTGAAATTCATTTATCTTAGTGTCTGCCAGGATAAGGAATGCAAGAGTTGCTCTACAAAAATTCACAGTGTGGTGCAAGAGATTTTAGCACTGGAGTGGGGATTAACCCTGGAACACAAAAGGATAAAAAGGAAAGATTTAAGGGAAGGCAGGCACACAGCTTTATGCCGAGGAATAAGCAGCCCACCCTGTGCATCACACGCAGGAGACTCCGCTGTCCTTTCTCTACAGCCTTGCCTGGAGCGTCCTTTTAAAGTTCTTTTATATGAAGATGGAAAATACTGGATTATAAAATATTTTAAGACAAATTCAATAGAAAAATAATGTTTAGAATGCACACAGATACCTTGACTGAATTTCTCCGTGTATCACAGCGAGTACTCCGGTCCCCCAACAGCAGCTGGGAAGCAGCACCCTGCTAACCCTTCCCAGGTATCGTGCTCTCACGTTACCCCTTAACTAGCTTGTGACACAGAAGAATTTGCTTCTCTGTGTTGTTTAGAAAGAGGAATTTTACACAGGGAGAAATGTATTACACAGCACCTGCTGCAGGAGGGTTGTCCCCCCGGTATAAAGCACTCCAAGCAGGAGAGCCTTGGGATCACCCGTTGAAGCGTCACCCCCATGTGTTTGGTGGGTTTGGCTTTTTGCAAACAGGGGCCCTACAGATATGTCCCAGAAGCATTTCCTCTTTCAGAATGCAGTGTATCCTCACTAGTACCATCATTCCACCCTTGATTTCACTCCGATCTCTCCCACACAGCCTCATGATTCATTTCACCTGAGCTTCCCGAGTTGTTTCAAAATTCCTCCTTAGAGACTCCGGTTTCTGTCACGGACACACATTCATCTCCTGTGAGATGGAACGTGGAATAAGAATTTGAAAGTCCTTTCCCCAAGTAAAACCCACTACAAACATTATTTTAACTTCTCTGTTGCTTTACTTTTAATTGTTACCCCCTCTCGCCAGGCACAAGGCCCAGTCTCACTGACGGCACAGCTCTAAATAACGTATTCGTCAGTCTGTTTGCTACACCTTGGCTTGCTGGTGACAGATTAAAAGAACGATACAGAAGTTAGGTGACATTGTGGTTATTGCAGTAACAAAGAAATGCACAACCTGTCAAATAGGAATATTTTCTCTCTTTTGCATTGCTCAATCTACTACAATTAGGAGCAAACTGATTTTCACACACAAAGAAAAACTCATTTGAAAAACCCCACAAACTCCAAGCAGCATAGAAATTTACAGAAATTTACAGAAAGGTATCCCTTTTAAACCTAATCAGTAAAACAGGCTAACTGGCTTACTGGCTGGAAGTTAAATGGAAGGCATCCCATTCAGAGTCTAGCCTTCTCCCACTGGATGGATTAAACAATCCCTTTCAATTCGAATGTATTGCTGCATATTCTGGCTGCAAAATGGATCTAATGATCCTTTGCATTTCTAGAACTGCTTACATATCTCGCAGTGTGTCTGTGTCATAACTTCACTTTGCAGCTGAGGTAAATAGATATCTACACGCCATGACGTTCTCTGAAACCTGCTGGTGTAATGAAGGAGATCTCTCTCTCTCACATTCAGGGTGCAAACTCTTCACAGGCATACCCAGTTTACTATACAGCTAAATCATGCTAGCAACTCCATTTTCCCTCTGGTAAGGTGATACGAGTAAGATTTCCTTATCCTAAACTTACTGAAATGCAAAATTAAGTCAACTAATGGCCAAAAAGAACAAGTGGGAGAACAACCCTAATCTCTGATTTCCAGCTCTACACTCACTCCCCTAGAGACAGATTCACTTTTTACCCCATGTTATGACTCCTCGTCAGCAGAGGGATTAATCAGTGTAAATTAACTCACTAGACACCGGACAGCTGCCAACAGCCGCATTCCCCAGGATGACATTCTGTAGCTGCACGCTGCAGAAGTGTCCAAAGACAAGTTTGTCAAATGAACTATCGCTGGGTAAAGGATGAGTTTTCAAATGCATGTACCATCGCATCCAAACAAAACCATGGATACATTCAGAATAATTTCTTTGAAAAACAGCCAGCTCCCTGCCCAATTTCAACTTCCTTCCTCTAGCCCGTTCAGCTGCAACGCTGATCGAAAGGAGGTCACAATGGTATCCTTCTTTAACGAAAAAAAGCACCTGCCTCAGTCCTCTTTTCTGGGAAATGGGCGAATTGTTTTTGTTCAAACGTTCAACATTTTAACAAAGCCACCTTTGAAAGCAGCCCTCGAACAGTGTAGGCCTAATGGGTTCAGGTTTCAAACAGGTCCAGGTTACTGGAGACAGGAGGTCAGAATCCGCAGGGCTTTCAGACAACGTTCGATGGATCAGGGAGAATCTTCAGCTACATGGAGACAAGTGCTCCAACACTTGCTTGGTACTTTTAGTTGGGAAGAAAGAAAAAAAAAAAAGAAAAAAAACTGACTTAAATTGACAGTTCTGGAATAAATGGCCCTTCCACCTCTAGTTGTGCAGGTATGGGATACACAGTAATTCCAGAGAGGGAGGCCTAGGTTAAAAAAAAAGAAAAAAAAAAATAATCCAACCCCCCTCCGCCCCCAACTCCAGAGAACCTCTCTTCACTCCACTGCCACAGGAGTTAGACTGGGGTCCTCCCCCCTTAGCCAAGCCCCAGGCAGTTTCTAACCCTGAAGTGTCCAGATTCAAACCCTGCTATGCCAGATGCTCCGGGAACAGGAGACAGAAGGGGGCTGTATTGTTACTACAGTAAAAAACCAGCCCCAACACCAACATGTTCATCACGGACAGGTCTTACTGTGGTGGTCCACTTGTAGAAAACCAAATCAAGTGTTCAGTATTTTGCTGAAAAGTAAGGATTCAGCAGAGATAACGCTGGTAAAGTGAGAATAATGCTCCAGGTATGCTTCAGACGCTCATTTCTGTGCAAGTGGAAAATCACAGAGAGCCATTTAAACAAATCTTGACATGTCTTTCATGCCCAGAAACGTGACTCCCCTTACAAATGCCTTAGGCATCAACAGCAAAACACTTTCCTCTTGTTTCCACGCTCCTCCCATTTTATTCTATTCTCTTACCAAAAAAACCTCAGGAATTTTTATCTTTTTTCACCTCTTAACACAGTAAATCACCTTTCAGAATATTGCGACACCTCCATAAGAAGGGCAAACAAGTTATGGGATCCATTTCTTCAGGTCTTAGAAAGCTTTCTTAAACAGAAGGGAAGACAGATATTCATGATTTCTCTGAAAACAGACTAGCGTTAATCTAAAAAACTGGTGGTAGTGAGGATGAATGGAATGTTTTGCTTTCTCTTCTGATGATTCTAGTGTTAAAAACAATTATGAACTAAGCCCCAGACAGTATAGAAATCAACCCCACTTTGTTGAGGAAGAAACAGAAACAAATATTTTGTGATTTGCCAATGCTACAAAGAAACCCAAGGAATATGATTGCAGACTTTTATTCCTGTAGCTTGCTTACAGTCTCTCATATTGTAAACTGCAGAACAAATCTCGTCCTTCCATACTGAAAACCAGTTCGAACTCTTTGATGGTGCTCAAAATCCATCAAAATAAATGTGACTGCTGTTTATGAAGAGGTTGTACCCACAGTATGAAATTCATCATAAGGCCTGAAGTGTGCTAGGTAACCAAATTCTTAATCAAAAAAAGATAAACTAAGCTCAAGAGCTGGTTGAAACACTAACAAGGATCCCTACTGGTGACGAAACAGAGCATCTTCAAAACCATTTGCATGTCAAGCTTCACAGACATTCTGATATCTCTGCCAACAGATCATAGTTTGCTTTTTTCCCCTAACTGCCCAAAACAATTCAACGAGGCCAGTAAAAACAGGATGATGACAACTAGCTTCAGTTAGTTTTCCTTCACTTAAACATGTCATTTCATATGGAATCTACTAGTAAAGAAAAGATTTGCCTGTGGTAGATTTACAACTGAACCTACCTTTGCTTTCAGATCAGCACAGGTCTCCTGCTGCTTTTGTCTGGTACTCGCCAACACTACTGCTGCCTCGTGAGCAGCAGAGGCTTCAGCAACAGTCATCGCTGCCTTCAGCAGAAAGGCTTTTCTAGCTTCACTCCAGTTTAACATCAAGACTCTGCGCTGGTTCCTAACGAAATGGTAGCGATCCCAAGCTTTCTCATTAACAACCTAAAAAAGTAAAGTATTCCAAAAGGGTTTTTAAATTTAGAATTTTTAAATTTTACATGAACCTTCAGAGAATTTGGGAGACCCATTAATAACAGCTATGCTTAAAATACACCTACACCGTACAAAGCACAGAATTATTTAGCCCAGTTCTCACAGGCGAAAGTTCTGAAATCCACAAGAACTTTATTTTTGGTGAAACTATGCTGATTATCAGTACTCCTTCACTGTCACTCCTTTGCACAAGGCACTCCTCAAACACAAGGAGGTGGATGGTCTAAAAATACAGGCAGAGATAAAAAAAGACTCCTACTTTACTTATGACATCCTGAAGTGTTCTGGCCTTGAAATGGGTTTCTCTATTAGCTGCTACGTGCTTATTCACTGTGGAGCACAAAAGGAGTCGGCAATCAATTTGAAGGCATTACGCATATAAAAATAGCCTCTCCCTGAGAGCAGGAGATAACTTTCCACTCTTCTTGCTATATACATGCCACAGACCAATTAAAATAACTATTCCTAGACAGTGCAACAGTGCTATCCATCCTTATAAAGAATAAAAATACCAAGAGAAGCAGAAGAGCATGACATAACCATAAAACCGTATAGCAAAAGGAAAGCTAGGAAACAGATTTTGTGATGTTGGCTGAGAGAGTACGTGGAACTACAAAATCTCCACAGTGCTTATTTGAAGAAGTAACAGGTGTTCAAGTTCACGCGTTTTGAAGACAGGGACATCCCTTCCTCACTGTGCAGAATAAAATTTATAATTAAGAAATCTTAAAATAAAAAACTTTGATAAACATTTTTTAATACA